AAATAATCATTCGAAAAAGAGTTTTTAAATTGAAACCTTGAATCAACACTAAATATACCAATTGCCAGTCAACACATTTCTAAATTCTTTGACCCTTTTCTAAAAAATAATCCAAACCCTTCAAAATGTTCTTTTTATCAAATGCAGAAGTAATTAACATTAACTGTAATCTCTCTGGCAAAAGTACAGTTTACCTAAACGCTAAGGGCGGTGATAACAACCGTCACAGTTTTTTGTATAATAATTAATAAATATATCATTGAAATATAAATTTGTTTTCAGTTTCATAGAGCAAGACTGCGTATCAGGATTCTGGACCTGGATGTTCGTCCTCTCGAAGCTTCCCGAGCTAGGCGATACGATTTTCATCGTACTTCGAAAGCAGCCGCTGATCTTCCTCCACTGGTACCACCACATCACAGTGCTCCTTTACTCATGGTTCTCGTACACCGAGTACACAGCCTCGGCCAGGTGGTTCGTCGTGATGAACTACTTCGTCCACTCCGTGATGTACTCGTACTACGCGTTAAAGGCGATGCGGTATAGGCCTCCGAAGGGCATCTCGATGCTGATCACCACCCTACAGCTAGCACAGATGGTAATCGGCTGTGCTATAAACATAATGGCTTACCAGTATCTGGAAGGCGGCCAAATAGACTGCCACATCTCCCACGTGAACGTCAGGCTGGGCCTCGTGATGTACTTCAGCTACTTCGTGCTGTTCGCCCGGTTCTTCCAGCAGGCTTATCTGAAGAAAGCCGCGGCCAAGAAGAAGAGCTACACCAACGGCACCACGGAATACGAGAAGCTCAAGGCTAATTAAGAAGACGTAGAGGAAGAGGCAGAAAGAGAGGGCGAGAATGATAGAGAGAACAAAGCACACCAAAACATTTTTGAAAACTTTTTCTAGTGACAATTTCCGGCGGCATTTATTGAGACTCCTCGTACCGCGTCTCAAGAAATGCCCGGGAATGGCTTTTTTAGAAGTCTTTGTTAACTCGAAGTGGTAAGCGAGGTGGAAGGATGATGGCTGGCGTGTTCGCTGCGAGGCGAGAGGAACACCACGGTGCGATCCATTTATTCGATATAGCACACTGAACTTTACGATAATATTTAAATGTTGCACACTCTGAATTTAATATGGAATTACCGAAGGGTAACGGGTTCGACGCTGCTCGCCGTTGAACTTGTTACCGGTGAGCTTTTTACTGGCACCGGGAAACTTCTTTCATTTTGTTTTTTTTT